TCACTAACAACAACAACAACAACAAAAACCAGCAAAGCACAAAATAAGGCAGCAGGAAGAACAAAAAAGTTATATACAGAAAACAATGAACGAAATGGCAATAGTAAGTCTTTTCCTGTCAGTAATTACTTTATATGTAATAGATTAAATATACTAATTAAAAGACACAGATGGGCTAAATGGATAAAAAATAAGAATCAACTAATAGGTTGTCTACAAGAGGCATGCTATAGATCTAAAGATACACATAGGCTAAAAGGATGGAAAAATATTCCATGAAAACAAGCATCCAAAGAGAGGAGAAGTGGCCATACTAAGATAAAACAGACTTTAAAAACCAAAACTATTATATGAGACAAAGAAGGACATTATATAATAACAGCATCAGTTCATCAGGAAGATATAACAATTATAATGTACATGCACCTAACATTAGAACTCCCAAATATATAGAGCAAACATTGACAGAACTGAAGGGAGAGATAGACAGCAACATAGTAACAGTAGCATATTTCAATACTTCACTTTCAGTTATGGATAGAACAAAGAGGAGATCAATTAAAAAAAAACAGAGGACTTAACACTATAGAATAGCGGAACCAAACATATACTGAGCACTTCACCCAAGAACAGCAGGATACACATTCTTTTCAAGTACACATGGTTGTTCTGCAAGGCGGTCCACATGTTAGGCCACAAAACAAGTCTTAACAAATTTAAGAAGATTGAAATCATATCAAGTATCTTCTCTGACCACAATGGAATGAAACTAGAAGTCAACAGCAGAAGATAAAAACACAAATATGTGAAAACTAAACAACACATTCTTAAACAACCAATGGGTCAAAGAATAAACCACAGGGAACTTAGAAAATACTTAGAGACAAATGAAAACAAAATACAACACATCAAAACCTAGGCAAAAGCAGTGATAAGAAAGCCAAAGCAGTGATAAGAGAGGAGTTTACAGAGATAAATGCTTGCATTAAAAAGAAGAAAGATCTCAAATCAATAATCTAATTTTATACTTTGAAAAAAAAAACTAAATTTAGCAGAAGAAATAATAAAGATGAAAGGAGAGTAAATGAAATAGAGAATAGAAAAACAGTGGAAAAATCAATAACCAATAAAACCAACTGAGTGTTTGTGTCCTTTACCCAAATTCATATGTTGCTGCCCTAACCACCAAAGTGATGGTATTTGGAGGTGGGGGTATTTTGAGAGATAATTAGTTTAAATTAGGTCATGAGGATGGCAACCTCATGACGAGATTAGTGGCCTTGTAAGAAGAGGGAGAGAGAAATCTATTTCTTCATGCACATGTACCAAGAAAAGGCCATCTTAGTACCCAAGAAGGCAGCTATCTGCAAGCTAGGAAAAGGGTTCTCACCAGAACTGACCATGCTGGCACCCTGACATGGACTTCAAGGCTCCAAAACTGAGAGAAATAAATGTCTATTTTTTAAGCTACCCTGTCTATGGTGTTTTATTATGGTGGCATTAGCAGACTAAGACATGGTCTTTTAAAAAGACCATAAAAATTGGCAAATCCTTAGCTACATTAACTAAGAAAAAGAGCTAAAAGATTTGAATAACTAAATTAGATTCAAAAGAATGGATATTATAACTGATGTCACAGAAATAAAAACAGATTTTTATAAAAGATTACTGTGAACAATTAAATATCAAATTAGATAACCTAGAAGAAATGGATTGATTCCTGGAAACATACAAACTACCAAAACTAAAGCATCAAGTAGGAAAGAATCTGAACAGACCTACAGTAAGGAGATTGAAGCAGTAATCAAACACTGCCCAACCAGGACAAGATGACTTCACTGAAGGATTTTATCAAACAAGTAAAGAATTAATACCAATCTTTTCAGAGAACTGAAGAGGAGGGAACATCCCCAAACTCACTGTATGAAGCCAGCATTATTCTGATACCAAAACCAGAAAAAAAAAAAAAAAAACAAGAAAACTGTAGGCAAATATTCCTGATGAATGATACAAAAATCCTCAAAAAAATACTAGTATACTGAATTCAACAGCACATTAAAAATATTTACACGATTAAGTGGGATTTGTAACTGGAATGCAAAGATGGTTCACCATACAAAATCAATCAATATAAATACACATTAACAAAATGGAGGACAAAACCCATATGATCATCTCAACTGATGCATAAAAAAACATTTGACAAAGTAAAAACTTTTTCATGATAAAAACACTCAACAAACTGGGGAAAATAAGGAACCTACTCCAACATAATAAAAGCCATACATGAAAAGGCCACAGCTAATATCATATTCAATCATGAAAGAAAGTTTCTCCTTTAAGATCAGAAACAAGGCAAAGATGCCCCCTCTCACCACTACTATTCAACACAGTACTGAGTGTCCCAGTCAGTGCAATTAGAGTAATAATAATAAAATAATAATAAATAAATAGCAAGCTTTTGCCCATTGATTACAGAGTGAAACCCAGGTCATTTAGAAAAGCTGTACTTCAATATATGAATCTACCAGATTAACCAATTTCCTGTTGTTGGACAACAGATTGGATTCTTTTACTCTTATGAAGAATACTTGAACAATACATACTCTGTAGCTAAACCATATTATATCTTTTAAATAGTTTTAATATCAGCTTCTCTCTCCCTTTCTAATTAGCTCTCAGCTGTTATACTTCTATCCTTCTGTGATCAAATAATCAAGCTAGTTAGATCATTTTACTTGTAATAAAACCTTATGCAATTCTGTCCCTTCCTCTAAGTCCTAGGGAAAAGGGGCAGCTGTTATAGAAGCTGTGAAATGGGTCTGTCTGTGCCTATTTGGGAGTATACTTTCAATATGACCAACTGTCAGAATTGGTTCTTGCCTCACTGAATAAATCTAAATCTTGTACCTTTTGGTTGCCTCTTCCCTTTCACTCCTTTTTAGGGTCTTGAAACTTAATCTACCTTTATGCAGGGTTCATTCCATCAGGGTAGGAGAACTCTAGGAGTCAACTGTAAGTTGAAAAAAAAAAAACAAACATTGCGAAGTCCTTATAAAGAACTTGAAATCAAAACAGGAACTTAGGGTCTAATCATCTCTATACCAAGGATGGTTTCAAACATACACCTCGTGCTTGCTTCGGCAGCACATATACTAAAATTCAAACATACACCTCTTATTTGGAATGCTGGGGTTCCAAAACTTAGAGTCATAAAGTTCTTCAAAAAGTGTAACAGAGAATCTGGATCCCCTGAGGACCAAATCCTTTGCATATATGCTAAAATCATGTGGTACATATATCTTTAATAGGTAAGATTTTCACTTAAAAATCAGTTCAGATCCTTTTGTAGTTCATGAGCATGATGATTGGGTGTTCATGCTGCTGCGTCACATGTGCCTCCTCCAAACCTTGTTACGACACCGGCACATTACCCGTCTGACGTTAAAAAAAAAAACCAAAAAAACAGTTCAACACCTGATCTGTGTAAAGAAACTGTTCTCGCAGTGCTAGTTATATATTTTCTGAGGCTTGAAAAAGGAACACAGAACTCTTGACACGTATGCTTCAACTAATGACGTCTCTGGCTGTTTGGATCAACCATATATATAAGATACTACTCCTTCAACCTGAGGACACAGAGAGACCCAAACACATCTGAAAATTCTAATAGAAACTCTAAAAAAACAGCTGGTGAATCCTCATCCCTCTATATACACTATTCTTGGGGGGAAGAGATTACTGATAATTTTAATTTCCTTGTTGTAAGTTTCCAAAGTTGTTATAATAAGCATATTTTATAAAAAGGTTTTAAGAAATACACCAAAAGGAATGAGCATACCTTAATAATGTAAATGGAGGTGGAAGAAAGCCTAGACTTGTTCTTCAATGACCTTTTTCCAGTTATAAAGTTACTTCTCTATTACTTGAAAAGAAAAAAGCCTAGAGAAGATGCATCTTGAATACTTGTTTTAAAAAAAATTCTTTTCAAAAATGCATCCTGAAAAACTAGCTTGATCATACATATTAAACTTGCCAATAATGTTTAATTGGAAAAAGTTTCCTAATTTTTCGTGATCTTTTTAATTAAAGAAACAAAGTACCACATATACATGGTAAAATATTCAAACAGTTCAAAATGGTATATAAAGTATTTCTCCTAACTCGGACACCAATTCTTTTCCCAGTGGTAATCATTATTAGCAAGTTTCTTATTCTTTCAGAAATGTCTTATGCATCTACAAAGGATATATATATACACATATGCTCTTCATCTACATGAGATCATAATTTCTAGTCCTCTTACAATCCATCCACTTGATGAGACAATGTGAGGAAAAAATAGAATTACATAAAAATTAGGCCAAGATAAAAACTAGCATGAAATTGTTGACAGAAACTCAAATGGTTCATGAGATAGCCAAAACTGAGGAGGAAAAATTAAGAGGCAAAAATGCTTCTTAGTTACTAAAAATAAAAGCTTTTACCCTTTAAAAATTACATTTCTCTCTTTAAGAGAATCTTCTTTAACACAAAAGAAAGTCACCATGCTGCTGATGTTTATTCAGAAGGCAGACTAAACATTTAAGCATTTTTTCCCTATTGGTTCTTGAAACTATCTCTTTCCTTAAAAAAAAAAAAAAAAGTTTAAAGGTAAAATTTTAAATGGTAAGACAGTATAAAGTGATACAGAATGAGAAAAGTACTTTATTCAGTGTACCGTGACAAGTTTTTCAGTTCCATTCATCATTACAGTAAAAAAAAAAAAAAGGAAAAAATTTGTTGCTGAGTATTTTTTGTTGTTGTACTTAAATAGCTAGAGTCAAGGAAAAAATGTTAAATTTAAGAACTCCTAATGTTATTATTGAAAATTTATACTTTTTATAAATATATATGCATATATATGCATATACACGTGTGTGTGTGTATTCCTCCTCTTTCATATGAACCACTCAAAACAATTTTAAAAACTGTTCTTTTCTGTATTTAAAGTTGCCCTTTTAAATATTTAGAAGTTCCACAGGTGGTGGCTTTAATGGAATTTTTCCCAGAGTAAACTTCTTGGATTGAAATTGTTCCAGTTCTTCTGCTGTTAGTTGATCCTTGGGTGTGAATAATGCATTATCTGTTGTGGCGCTGCCAAGTGAGAAAGAGAGAGAAGTGGGTACACTGCTGTTTCCCAAAGTGTCACTGGATGACTTAGAGAAAGCAGTGTGAGGCGGTGAGCCTGAACTACCAAAACCAGCTGCAGAACTGCCACTTCCAAAGGCTGGGGCCACTGGAGAGTCAACAGGGCTTGCTGCCATAGAAGGCGAAAATCCTGAAAATCCAGATGATCCAAAACCAGAAGCTGCAGGGGTTTTAAATGAAAATGAAGCAGCAGATGTGATTTCGGGTTTCCTAAGGCCAAAAGTCGGAGTAGCAGCAGGGATGGCAGAACTGGCAGCGGGTACAGCTCCAAATGCTGGAGTATTCCCAAACACAGCAGGACTTCCAGAAGGGGCTGTAGCAAATCCAGAGCTTGGTTTAAAACTAAAATTCTGAGCACTGCTGCTGCTGCTGTTATTCACAGGAAAACCTACAAAAACCAGAAAAAGAAAAAAGAAACTATTAGTCAAAAAATGTAGCTATATTACTACCTTGCCCCCATCTTTTTTTGTTCTTATTTCTGCCATGTTTAGATGATGAGAAACTTACTGGATGGAAGAAAAGTGAAAATGAGAAGTTAGGACAAACTCACTAAACTCTGTTGGCCTGTCTTTCCGCTACACTGATCTCATTTGCACTTTAATTTACATTAAGAAGGTAGCTCTTGAGAAATCTCAGGGATTAGGGAGTGAACCTTCACTTCAGCTTGTCCTTTTCCTCTCACTGGAGCTGTCACTTGAAGGAACAAGAAAGTCCTCATAGGTGCTGCTACCATAGCTACGTAGTCCTATGAAACTCTAGAAAAACCATTCCTAAAATATACATCTAAAACCTGAGCCATAGAGTCTTTCAAAGAACGTGCCCATTCTGGACACCATTTCACAAATGCTAGATGAGCCAAATTCTTTAAAGCTCTATTATGGAAGGTGGTAGAATTTGCAAGGGTGACTTAAAATGGCACTAGAGACACCTTCAGGCTTTGAATTTGAAACCCATAAAATCCCATTTTTCTGAATCAGTCAAGTCTTGCATGACTCTGTCACTTACCTGGTGACCCAAATGTTACTGCTTGCCTATTGCCAAAACCAAATGAAGGTGCTGCTTGATTCACTCCATCCTGTAAATCGGAGAGCTATTAAAAAAGAGGTAGGCAAGTGAATAATTCTCACGTACTTTTTCTGTACACTTTTAGCCAAATTAAATTTTTCAAATGTGCACTCTAAAATGTCTTCATTTTGTTTAACATAGAAAAATGCCCACAAGTGAATATGCATAGAAAAAATGGGCCTTTCTCAGAGAGTGCAGAGTGATTGTCTGGCTGATGAATTGTGAGTGTTTTTAATTTTATTTATGCTTTTAAAACATTTTCTAAATGTCTTCAATGAACACATATTAAAATCAGAAAAATACTTTTTAATTCTAGATTTCAGTGTCTACAGGTTGATGTGCATTAATCAAGAAACCTAGATACAAGGTAAGGGACCTTTAGAGGCTACCCCAGTTGACATACTCAAATGCCTGACTCAAAGTTAATTCACAATTACATTACTAAAAGCTTACCAGTAAACTCTATTAAATATTCCCTATTCCCTTAAAATATTTTATGTTCTTGCTATTTTCTGCTGTAGAAATATCTTTCATCTCTGCTTACTGAAATCTTAATCTCCTTTTCAATGAACTTTTCACTTAATTCTGACCTCTAATAAGTCCTTCCTCATTAATACAAGCATATATTATTTCTCTCATTTGAAAACCCTATTGGCATTGTTTTTAAAAAATAGTTTATTTGGCTGCATTGGGTCTCAGTTGTGGCACTCAGGATCCTTTAGTTACAGCATACGGGATCTAGCTCCTCAACCAGGTACAGAACCCAGCTGCCTGCATTGGGAATGCAGTCTTGGCCACTGGACCACCAGGGAAGTCCCTAGCAGTTTTTAAAACTCAACTTTATTGAGGTATAGTTTACATAAAATAAGATGCATCCATTGAAAAATTTATTTTTCAATGAGTTTTCATAAATTTATAACTATCACTACAATCAATATTTAGAATATTCCCATCACCCATAAAAGTTATTGTGTGTCCATTTCCAGGCAACCCTCTCCCAACCTCTGGTCCCAGGGAACCACACATCCACTTTTTATTACTAGAAATGAGGTTTGTCTTTTCTAGAGTTTCATATAAACAGAATCATAGCTTTTTCTTGGGGGGGGGGCTAGCTTCTCTCTCTCAGCTTGTGTGATAAACAAATTATCATATAAGGAATGTGGATAAACAAATTATATCCATATAATGGATTAAAAGAATAATTGGACATAAAGAATTGATGCATGGTAAGCCAGTCGTAGGTGAGCTATTCAAGATTCTCACCTACAGAAGGGCCCCTTGGAAGCTGTCAAAGAACACAGAACTTTCAACCCTGAAGGAAGCTCCCTAGTTCTCTGAACTCAGTTACCCCTTCCACATTAGCATTGGCGATGGTGGGCCACCTCTCATCTAGAGAAAAAATACTTCCAAGAAGTCCTACTGAATTCAGATGGCATGACAACAACTGAAAGGCAGAAGAAACTAGCTTGCACAAGAGTCTAGTCATTTACAAGCAGATATTTAAGGAGTAGGGTATTGGGACTTTCAGTCATTCACTAAGTTCAGGCAGCTACTATTCTCATAGCTTTTTTTTCACAAAGTACAAAGAAAAATCACCTAGGAAACTGGAAATTAAATTCTAAACATAAATATTTTATTTAAAAATAATGCTCTTAAGAACATTTTATGGGGGTAGAAAAATAAACTTTATCAACAGAGATAATGAATATGCTGCAGTAGTATCATGCATCTTTGGGGACAAGTGCATATATATCTCCTAACAGCATTCTGTATAAGACAGGAACTTATGGTAAGTGTCCTTTAGTCACCAAAGTGTGTATTAGTATACATGTGACTTCCCTGGTGGTCCAGTGGTTAAGAATCTGCCTTCCAATGCAGAGGATGCAGGTTCATCCTCGGTTGGGGAACTAAGATCCCACACACCACGGGGAAACTAAGCCCACATGCCTCAACCAGAGTCTACGTGCTGAAACGGAGATACCATGTGCCAAAACTAAGACCCAGTGCAGTCAATAAATAAATTTTAAAATGTGCATTCATATCATTTTTCAAAGCAATTTCTTTTTAAATGCTGATAAGCTGGAATACTTGCATTTATATTATATTTCCCAATTTTGAAAACTAGTACTACCAAAATTAAGAACCTAATCCTAAGAATAGTTTTAGAAAAGCATAATTATCTCTGCTTTTCTGACTAAGGAACAGAGAGAAAGGAATTCCAGAACCTTGACTCTAAATGATAATATATTATGGTTCTTGAGAATGTGTGTATCATAATTCTTGACAGAGAATTATAGTTTTGTTTCATAAAGGCAATAGATACTTCCCTGTAGAAAATTCTCCAATACTCACCAAAGCTATTGCAGTTGATGTATTTAGACTTTTCAGTTCATTCACCCTGTTCCTCCACTGGTTTATTAACTGCTGGACAGAATTTAGCTGAAGAAAGAGGACAGAAAAATAATGTGTCAGTATTGAGTGTTTAAGGTAATCTCTTCAACAACTTCATGTCTTTATTTCCAAAGTCACAATAAATTTATAAAATATTTTTATGGCCCATAACTTGTAAAATTTGCATTGACCTACTCCTACTTGCTACAGACACTCTTGCTGTAGACCCCTTTCCCTTTCCCTATCTCCAGCTCCTTGTATCTCCTAGTTAAAGATCCCAAATACCTGGCAGCACAAAGTTATTAATAGTTATATTTGGATGGGAGACAAACATGTGTCCTGGTCAAAATATATGATATTGACAGTAGACAAAAGAAAAATACAGAGTTTATGTCATTTCCTTTAAGCACTAAACTTATTCTTACCCAGTTTTTCAATTTTTTGATACTTGATACATGAGAAGGCTAATCTGCACACAACACTGCATCTTATTTGTTTTTCTAGCAGTCATCATGGTGTCTGCATGTAAGAGATGCACCATAAATGTCTGTCAAATGATGAAAGGGTATGATTTCTGGATAAGTGGTAATAAAAATAAAAGCATCGGTAGTTATTACAGTCATAGTATATTCTCATCACTTTCGATAACCAACCAATTGTAAAGAAAATAATTTAGAATATAAAAATAGTCTTCTGAAAAACATAGACTTCATCCACTTTGCCAACACACAAGTGAGCCACTATAGAGAAGACAATAATTAACAGCTAATCTGTTAGTTAAGATAAATAGGAAACAAACTTACATAACTCTGTAAGTTATTGCTGGTTAAGAAGTTATAGTATTCAAGTCTCAACTCCTCTGGTGAAATGTCTGTAAAACCTGAAGTGAGAATCAATTGGAATCTTTAAATACCAATACTTTTGATAGTATAGTAAAATGAGAAGTGCTAGATAGGAAAATATGCTAATCTTGATCATTAGAAAAATTTCATAATCATAAGGAAAGAATTCAAAACCTAGACTTTATTTAATAAAGTATAAAATTAGAATAAAATATAGTTTGTTATTAATATTTGAAGGGGTAAAATTTTCTAAAGATAAATGGAGTGGAAGAAATAATACAGAAAAGAAAAAGAAACAGTTGATTACATATACATTTGAACTTATAAAAAAAATTCTGTATGTTAAAAACTGTCATAAGCAAAATTAAAAGGCAAACAAAAAAATTAAACTTGGAAAACCATAACTGCAACATGTATGACAGGAGAAGAGTTAATGAAAATGTATAATTAGTTCTTACAAATCAGTAAGAAAAATAAGCTAACATGGGCAAAGATAATGAACAAGCAATTCACGAAACAACTCAAATAGCCAGTATACAAATGAAATTGAAAAGTTCAATTTAAAATTACAACTTAAGACTTCCCTGGTGGTCAGGGAAGATTCCACATGCCACAGGGCAACTAAACCAATGTGCCACAACAACTGAGTCTGAGATGTAGAGCCCTCAAGCTGCAACTACTGAGCCTCCATGCCACAACTACTGAAGCCTGCATGTTCCAGGACATGTGCTCTTCAACAAAAGAAGCCACTGCAATGAGAAACCCATGCACCGCAACTAGAGAATAACCCCCACTCACTGCAATTAGAGAAAGCCCCTGTGCAATAATGAAGACCCAACACAGGAAAAAATAAGTAGATAAAAATTTTTTTTTAAATAAAAATACAACTTAAAATAGATACAATGTTTTACTTATCAGATTGGCAAAAATTAAAAATGGACAATTATTAATAAGGATGTGGTGAAACGGACATTCTTCTAAGTTGCCATTATGGAAACCATGGTAAAACTTTTCTGGGAGGAAAACTGTCAATAAACGTCAAAGGCCTTACAAACGCTCATACCTTTTGATTCTTACAGAATTTCCAGAATTTGACCTCAGGAAATGATTGAACATGTAAATAAAGGGTGTTACATAAAAAAGATGTTCATTCTAGTATTTCTAGTAATAGAAACATTGAAAACAACAAGGCAGAATACAACACTAGGTTATGATTCCTAATTATATATATAATAAGAAATAAGTGTGTACATGTTTTGAAAGAAATACACTAAAATGTTACAGCTGTTATCTCTGAGATCAGTTGATCTTTATTTTATTTACGTATTTCTGTATTTTTCAAATTTTCTATGGCAACAGATGTAACTTCCATAATAGGAAAACTTTTTGAGGAAAAAAAAAGAAGAAAGAAAAATGTTCAGGATATTTTTCTACAGAGAATTACTGGTAACCAGATACCACTAACTCCAAAGACTCCTACCTTAGAATAAAAAAACCTAAACATTCAAATCAGAACCCTCAATGCTCTCTAACAACTTATCTTTACCATCTTTACAAACTACTCAGGCCATAAAACCAAGAATCACCTTGTACTTCTCTTGTTGCCCATATCTAATTAATAAACCTCCTGCCAGTTCTAGCTCCAAAACAGAACATGGATTTGACCCATTCTGTCTCCACCACAAATAACTCTCAGTCAACAGCAGCTGTCTCCTAACTCATTTCCCTTCCTCTATTTTGTGCCCCCAACCCCTGTTCTGAGCAAACCATTTCTTTTCACATAATAGTCTAAGTGAGCGTTTTCTAATCAGATCACATCCCTCCTCGTGCTCAAAACTCTCTGGTTTCCTAGTGCAATTAGGCCCAACATGATCTGGCCCCTGGCTGCCTCTCTCTGGCCTAATGTTATATTACTCTTTCTCTTGTTTATTCTCCTCCAGCAATTCAGGCCACACTAATCTATAAGTACGCCAATCCTGTTTGTACAAGGGGCTCTGTACTACCTATTATATGGCCAGGAGCATTTCCCCTCAAATCTTCCCAGAAGACACATCTCTTCATTCAGGACTCAGTTTCAATACTGCTTCCTAAAAAGAGATAACCACTCTATGTAAAGAAACACTGTCCCTCTGGTTACTTTCTCTTCCTTCCATCAGTCACTCATGGTGAACCACAAAGATAGAAAATGATCTGGGTGACTATTTTCTCAATTCTTTCAAAGGTAAGTATAAATACAGTATCATTCTAGTGGCAAAGGAAAAATTAATTCATTACAAAGGATGCCTACAGACAGTGATTCTCCTACTTTCTGACTTCAGCACCCTTTTACACTCTTAAAAATAATTAAGGATTCCAGATCTTTTACCTACATAGGTTACATAAATCAATATTCACCAAATTTGAAATGAAAACTGAAAAATGGAGAAAATATTAATTCACTTAAAAATAAGAAATCATGGAGAAGGAAATGGCAACCCACTCCAGTATTCTTGCCTGGAAAAGTCCATGGACAGAGGAGCCTGGCGGGCTGCAGTCCATGGGGTTACATTACTGAGCATGTGTGCACAAGAGTGGAGGGAGATGGGTTGGTAGCAATAAAGTGGTAGAACTAAAAAAAAAAAAAAAAAAGAAATCAATGTGTCAACATAAATGAAAAAACTATTTTCCAAAACAAAAAATAAAAATTTAGTGATATAAGTGGCAGTGTTTTATGTTTGCAAATCTCTTTAATGCATGGCTTATTGAAAGACTGCTGTATTATAATATCTGCTTCTGCTATTCAATCGGCTTCAATATGTTTCAATACATTGCCTGGTTCAAGTATATAAAGAAAAACTCTTCTCACACAGATATGTAGCTGGGAAAGGATGACTTTAGTGGTCTTTTCAGATAATTGTGGATATTCGTCTTTGGTACAATACCAAAACTTGACAGGCAATAGTTTCTTAAAGGTTAGCTATAATGTGGACTCAAATCATATTAATGCTATATTAATGAACCAAACTATTAACTGGTTTACCCACTCCAGTATTCTAGCCTGGTTAATTCCATGGACTATACAGTCCATGGGGTCACAAACAGTCAGACACAACTGAGCGCCTTTCACATCACTTCACTTAGAATGAATTTTTCAACCATGCACAATTTTGTAACTTCACACACTGGTCATTTGGAAAATACTGGTTCACTGAGTTATCCAGAATTTCCAAATGTTAGCACATGTCATCTTACAATAGAAAAAAATTCGTATTTGTTAATGTTACTCTATGTGTGCTTCCCACTTGTACACAGAATACTTAAAAGGTGTACTTTTATAAAATTAATAACTTTTACCTCTTCATCAGGGACATTCTTTTTAAAAAAATTTTTTTTTCATTTATTTATATTAGTTGGAGGCTAATTACTTTACAATTTGTAGTGGTTTTTGCCATACATTGGTATGAATCAGCCATGGATTTACATGTCCTCCCCATCCTGAACCCCCCCCTCCCAAAGCCCTCCCCATCCCATCCCTCTGGGTCATCCTAGTGCACCAGCCATCAGGGACATTTTTAAGTGAAAATGTCATTAAAAAAATTTTTTTTATTGACTACTATAATCTACTAGTAGTCTGTTGCCTGTACCTCATCTACAGCTTTACACCAACAGTACAAATGTCAACACAGTGAAAATGGCAATTAATGTCTCAGTATTATTATGAAAATATTTCTAAACTTGTATAGCCCCTAAAAAGGATCTCAGGAATAGGGTTGCCAGATTTAGCACACACACAAAAAGGATGCCCAATTAAATTGGAATTTCTGACAAACAAATACTTAAAAAGGTAAGTATATCCTAGCGGTCCACGGGTTAAGACTTCACGCTTTCAGTGCCAAGGGCCTGGGTTCAAATCCTGGTCAGGGAATGTTAACACCCCACAAGCCATATGTTAAGGCCAAAGCCAAAAAACAAAAAAGTATAAGTATGTCCCAGACAGTACATGGGATATCCATATACTAAAAATATCGCTACTTATCTGAAATTTAAAGTTGACTGGACGTCCTATATTTTATTTAACAATGCTGCTGAGGGATCTATATTTTACACTGAGAACCACTGCTTTAGGACATTCAGCTCAGTTCAGTTCAGTCGCTCAGTCGTGTCCGACTCTTTGCGACCCCATGAATCGCAGCACGCCAGGCCTCCCTGTCCATCACCAACTCCCGGAGTTTACTCAAACTCATGCCCATCAAGTCGGTGATGCCATCCAGCCATCTCATCCTCTGTCGTCCCCTTCTCCTCCTGCCCCCAATCCCTCCCAGCATCAGGGTCTTTGCCAATGAGTCAACTCTTCACATGAGGTGGCCAAAGGATTGGAGTTTCAGCTTCAGCATCAGTCCTTCCAGTGAACACCCAGGACTTACCTCCTTCAGGGTGGACTGGTTAGCCATGTCCAATTCTGAAATTTTTAAAAAAGGCTTAACACTTATTACCTTTACAGAAAAATCATTATTTAAAATGATTTATTTGTATTGCTTATAACCTCCATCCCTCAAGAACATAAACTTCATGAGGGATGGATCTTAGCTATCTTACTCACTGCTATGTCCCTACCACCTAGAATGAGGCCTGGCAAAAAAGAAATTCAATGAGTATTTGTTGAATGATTAGTAAATAAATGACTAAGGAGTGGTGTGACACAAATGCTCACAAAGAATGAGCAGGTAGAGCAGAGACAGAAATTCCAGAGACAGAAATTCCAGAGTTCTGAGAGACTGAAAGGGCCCTCATTTTCCAATGATTTCCTGTTCAACTTCACAGGGCCTAGGACCACCCAGAGCAGGCTTAGAAAACTGTGGTGGTCTGGCTTTCAGCCCCAAATGAGCTATGGACAAAAGAAAGTGGGAAAGAAAGGAGTATTCTAAGGCTCCCTAACTTCAAACATTACCTCCAGAAGAGGTATCAACATGCTTTATTAAAAATAACTATCCTTAGAAAAAAAGAGGAAAGAAAGAGAACAGAATGAAAGCCCAATGACAGGCATAATATGATTCTTCTATTCTCTGCAGGCAGCTAAAGGTTCTAAAGTAGTATCTACAGGGAACCAAGATAGTAGAGCCTCTTCTTAGGCTTACAGAATTAGAAATGTGGCGAGTCCTCATTTTACTGGTTTTCTCAAGGGATCAATATATCTTGAACTATATCTTCCAACCTCAATCTCTGAATTACAAAGTTCTGGTAGAATACTCAGGTATTTTAAACAATGTTCAAACTCCCCTAACTGTGGTTAAATTTTTGGTTAATTTCTTTTTTTGACCTGGTCTTGGTTTTAGAAAATAATAGTGGTAAAACACATTTTAAAAACACATAATTTCTAGTTACCTGAAATATTCGGTTTCTTTTTCACCGGTGAATAAACAGAAAACATCCACTGCCCTGATGATTCCCAAACCTCCATATCTTTAACAATTCCTTCCCTGAAAAAAGAAAAAAAGGCAAAAGATCTATTTCTTCTGCTTGGTAAAATTTATCATTGATAACTTTCAGTGATTGTTATAGCAAATATATAATTTTAGATTTTTCCACTATCTTTTCTGAAGTGTCCTTCAAAGCAGAAGTTGACAAAAATATGAGCTGCACTTCATGATTATAAATATTATAATATCAAATACATTTATAATTTTGGTTTTCCAGTACACTGAACCATTAATCAATATATTTATTGAGAACTCACTATAGTACTATATACATCTTAAAGAACTGAAATATAAAATACACAATATTAACTTTAACATTTTAAAATACCCAATATTAAACTTTAACTTTCTCTGTTCATTATAACTAACATCAATGATCATTTAACTGGGAAAGAAAGAAGCAGTAAATAATAAAGAACCATAAAATATTTAAGTAGGTAGGACTTCAGAGATCATTTTGTCTAATACTCACATTTTGCAAAAATAGAACAGACTCATGTCCATGGTTAATTTGTTAGAAAAGTCATGGATATATTCAGCTTTAAGTTAAATATTTCCCTCTTACCCAGAATAGCACAATTAATGAAGTAAGAATGGTAATTGATAATAAAATAATACTAAAATTTAGGATTTTTACAACATCAAATATAGGAAGGAATGTTTCATCTGTTTTATTTTACTTACTCAATTGTGTATGATACATGGCTCAAAATGTTTACAACTAGTTCTAATTTAATTATGGGATATAAAAGACTAATGAATATATTTAAGCTCTGTCCTAGTTGCTGGGAGCTGAGGGAACATTTATATACAGCCAGGCACTGTTCCAGCACCAGTCATAAATTCTACTACGAATGTTCTCAATAAATGATAAGAAATGTACTCCACAATAATGAAGGAAAATCAAATGATATCAGTTTGCATTAGGTAACTGAAGCAAAAGTTTTATTACAGAAAGAAAAATACAAGATGCTGTAAATGACCTCCAAAATCACAAACTGCTTTAAATCACCTCATACTTTGTAAAGAACTCATAATTTAACATAAGCAGGATTACCTTAGAAAAATATTCACAGTACAGTATCATCAATAGAAAAGTTGAAAAAGAGTAACTATCCCCAAGGAGACACTGATACAGAAGAATCACACTTTAAGTTGAAATAAAGTCTAGCATGACACCTGCAAAACAGAGATTACCTCTGATCATGGAGGCTTTTTCTCCTTTTGCTTATTTTGATTTTATAACAACTTAATAAAGTAATAAAGTTACTTCTTTTTTAAGGAAATATTATGGGTGCTTTTGGAAAAAAAATTAGCAAATGGGTGGTAATTTTTCTGAAGGTTTTCACTTACAGAAGCTTTTTATCATCTTTCTGGTCATCAGAGCCAGGTGAAGCAAATGGGTTCTGAGATAAGACAAATCCCTTGTTCTTGCTAGTGGACTCTCCAGAATCAAAAGAAGCAAAAGATGGCTTTTCTTGATCTCTGCTGCCCCCCCATGGTGCAGGCTTGGAGAAACTGGATGGCTGGATAACATTGGAGTATCTCTGACTGGTGGTATTCCATCCTCTTCTGTTACTACCTGAAATAAACAACAAAATAAACAATTTTACTAGCAACTCATGCTTTCAATCTCTAAAAATTTCATTATATTTTGTCTTATTATATGCAGATATTATGTAAAGATTCGACAGGCACTACATGCCCACTCATTTTAAATTACAAAACTTTTCATTTTCAATTTATAGAATTAAGTGTAATATCAACAAAGGGGCTTCCCTGGTAGTAAAGAATCTGCCTGCACTGCAGGAGATGCAAGTTTGATCCCTGGGTCGGGAAGATGCCCTGGAGAAGGAAATGGCAACCTACCCCAGTATTTTTGCTTGGGGAATCCCATGGACAAAGGAGCCTGTAGGACTAGAGCCCGTGGGGTCGCAAAAGAGTCGGACACGACTGAGCAAGTGAGCACACACACACACACACACACACAGTAGCAACAAATCACACAATGATCTCATTTAACAAGACTGAGAGGACTGTAAATCCACAGTAAAATTATATTACTAAATTCAATTGACGTAAGTTTATTAAATAAACAATTGTTTTATAATGGAGTGTACAGAAGGCATGTAACTTATATCATAAGCTCCTTCATGGTAAAAAGCTGTATCTCTATCATCCTTTGCTCCCCAATTGGGCCCTATATAGTTGTAAAATCTGAAAAAAGAGCAATGTATTAAGAAGTTTATTGAAAAGATATGATTCTACCTTCTGTCCTTCATAGATGGGTAAATCTATTTGACTCAGTATTCTGAGAAAGAAAACACCTATCCTCCTATTTTCCATATGAGAATTGTAGCGGTAGTTTACATATGAATAAAGTGCATTGACTTCCTCTATTATAAGCATATTTTTAGTATTCTTTTAACTATCAAAATGAGCCAAAAGGACTTTCTCCTTTCTGTCTCTATATTTAAAAAAAATCTTATCACTTCAACTATATCATTTATTCATCACTTCTCAGCTGGGGCCAAGATAATTCACCATGTTTCTAACTGAATTAGGAGACATGCTATTAAATATGTGTAATAAAACTGGAGTGATGGGAGATACACTCTTTTAAAAAATTCATCTCCCAATTCTAAAACTACTTAACAAAACCAAAGAGGAAAGAGGGCACATTGCTAGATCAGATCCCGCAAGTAGGGGTTAATAATATTGTATTTTTCTAGAGTTTGATCTCTTTTTTTTGTTATCTTTTTTCCTTCACAACGGAAGAAATTCATTCCATTATTTGGAGATAGCTTTTGGCCTTTATACTCACTGATTCTGCAAGCATTTATTTATTTCTGGGCATTAGATACACTGTTTATTTAACTAGTTTTATTTACACTTTTAAAATCCATCAATCTATCCATTCAACATTTATTCTGTACTGTATTTAGAGTGAGTCTCCACACAATGTTAAATATTACGTTTTGTTGTTCTTGGAAGTACTCACATTTGTCTGATCCTGAGTCCTAATTTTTGGTTTGGAATATTTCACTAGACTAATTGTGGGGAATTAAAAAAGACTGTCTTCTAGAAGAGGTATAAAAGTGAAACCACAGTGTAACAAACGGTTTAAAGGTCAGATGAGTAGCCGCACAGGAGGAAAGAGAAAGGCGAGGTGGTCAGCATCCTGTGGTCCTTTTTAAGAACTAAGTTTCAGTTCTAAGAAAATCTAACTATTCATTTGACCTCTAAAACCTTGCATTGTACTATAAATTCACTTCGGATCCCTCCTCTCCTCGAAGACAGTTCCTTTGCATCATCCACAATTGATTTAGTGAAATATTCCAATTTCGACAATGACTTAGGCCCAGAAGGCAGGTCACCGTGGTCCTGCATACCTCTCCCTCAGAGCCCAGAGTTCTTAATTGAGCAGCCCACTCTCCCGATCTTACCTCCTATTTTATAAGCATGTGCATTTACATGAGGTTTACGGCTCTGTAGCTTTTATTAGATTTTCAAAGGAGTTCACGACTTCCCCAAAGAGCCCTGACTCTGACCCCACTTATAGCCTCTCCCTAGAAAAAAGTTTAGAAAAAAAAAATTACATTAAAAGCATCAACGGGAAAAACAAGTACGCAGAAAAGTAGTACAATGTTACAGCAAGGAGGCGTCTAGGTCGACCTACGCCAATTCTGGAACCACTGCCGTGCAAAGACTAGGTAGTTTTGATATGTAATTCCAACTTTAAAATTCGTTGTTTCTCACTGTAACCACGAATAATCTGCAGTCCGCTTAACAAAATCATCCGTAATTCCTATCAAAGGCGAAAACGTCGGTGGGCGGGGCGGGCGAGGGCACGGCGCGGGCACGTCCGCATCACCTGACTGGTACGCCACGGCGCTGTGCCCAGCGGCTGGCCCCAGGAGAGACGCCGGATCCTCGCCCGCCCGGTCCCACGTCAGGCTTTCCCCTGCTCGGCTAGCTGCGAAGGATTGAGGAAGACGTCACCTGAGGGCTGTGGCTGCCGTCCTCCACCCGCACCCCTGGCGCCGGGATGTTCGTTCCAGCACCGGTCTCCGAATCGGCAGCGGCCTTGAAGGAAGAACTGACAAATGGTCATGGCGACGGTATCGCGAACGGAGCGGTCTTCATTTAGCACCCTCGGCGAGCAGAGCCCAGAGCAACCGGAGGTCCCGGCTGCGCTACTGTGATGTCATCTTCTTGCGCCTGGTAAAGGCCCTTTCTCTATTGTCCCGCCCATAGTGTGATGAGAGGCGAGGATTTTACCCAATAAGATTTGAGAATAGTGGGTCCGCCCCGCACGCGCTGAGCGCAACCTTGGGAGGGTGGGATGCTTGAATGGTTTTGCGAAGAAAGGCGCTTAAGAGCTTGATGCCGGGTCTCAGTCGAAGTAGTTTGAGATCTCAAATGAGAGGAAAGTTGGTCAGGCAAACCAAGGACTTCAGTCCTGGGAGGAGTATTAGCTGTGGTTTGAGAAGCATAGTCGTATTTTCATTTGTAACTGCTTAGTAAAAACCTGGCCAGCCGTTCATCAGGATCGGTAACAATGTAAGCCAGTAGTAACGTTTACAGTAAACAGATTAAGGACAAACTGCAACTAAAAAGTATAACAACCGGCATCTTTGGGTGAGTACTACATTCTTACGCAGAGAAACTTTGTTCTTTTAAAACCCACGTGAACGTTGCTATGTGAACTTTTATCAGTAATAATGAAATATTCCACTCGTTGCCTAGTGGATCTAAGACACCTGACACAGAGAAGCAGCTTCTATTTCTAACCAGGTGCAGAGCTGAGGATAGGGGGATTCCTGAAAAAAACAAAAAACAGTACATATCCTCTTAAGTTTGTGGTTTCCAAGGAAACATGACCCTAGATCCACTTCTCACTCCTGATCTGGTGTTCATGCATCATTTAAATTTTAGATTTCACGTTTCATTTAGATTTTACCTGAACTCCACCTTTCCCACTAATCCTACGACTACCTTTTCCATTGTGTGGTGAGACACACTACAGTTCCTCTAGTGTGCCATCTCCTTGGTTGCAGTGAGGCGATAGATCTGTTGGATTACAGGTTTGTCCCTGATAGTTTAAAATAAAAAGATTAGCCATTGTTCTTGCTCATATACTTTGGATTTGGAAGACAGTGGAATCTACAGAGCACTGAGAATAACTGGTGCAATTTAGTATATATATATTTTTTAATTCGTTTCATTTCTCTTGAAAAAAAAATTGTGGGAGAGTTACATGTAGGTATAATACAAAGAACGTTTTCCTGAACCACTTGAGACTATATTATAGCCTGATGCCCCAACACCCAATTATTTTATTTCCTACAAACAAGGACATTCTACTTAACCACAAAATAATAACCAAAATCAGGATATTAGTATTGCTGCATATTACTAATCCTTAGATTCTATTCATATTTTGCCTTAAAAACGTCCCAATAATGTCCTTTAAGCGACAAGGATGCAGTTCAAAATTATCATTGCCTTACTCATATTTCTTCAGGCTTCTTCATTCTGGACTATTTTCTCAGTCTCTCCTTGACTTTCATTACCTTGACTTTATTAAAGATTACAGCTATTTTATAGAATTTCCTTAATGCAGACTTAAGTGTTTTGTTAATTAGATTTAGATTATGCATCTTTGGCATCCATGGTCTTCACAATGCACCTGTCAGATTGTGCACATCAGTTTGTCCCATTAATTGTGATGTTCACTTTGATCACTTCAGGTGTTATCTGGCAAGCTGCTCCACTGTAAAATTACTCTTTTCCTGTTTGTTATTAATAACAAAAGGGAGAGACTTTGAAAGTATGTAAAACCTCATTCCTCACCAAACTTTTAATTCACTCCTTTATTTATTCCTATCAGTATGGACTTAAGAGTTTTTGATTTTATTCACTGGATTATACTTTGTTAATATCATTTATTTTCATGTGCAAATCATTCCCAACTGAAACATCTCATGCTTCTTTGAGCACTTCACTTCCTGGCCTAAAAGATGCTCCAGGGTCATCTGACACTTTCCCTGCTATCCAAGGAGTCCTGGGTCTTTTTTGGTGGTACTTAGAAGCCAAGATCTGAGCTGTTAAGTTTGTTCATTGCTTTTGTAATATCTTTGTTCCCAAATCCTTTCATGGGCATTGCTAGAGAATATATACTATAGACAGATACATTTACATCAGTGTACATTTTGGTTTCTATATGTATGACTTCACACTTTGATAACCTCCAATTTCAATCCAAGATCACAGAATTCATTTTATTTATTTATTTATTTTTCCTCTCTCACAGTGAGAAACTTGGCTCCCATTATTCTTAACATATGTATTTTGAGCAGTCCCCTTGTGGTAACCAGTCTTTGTGGCCAATGACTTCTCATCCATGCAGATGCCAGCATGTATAAGGACTTTGCTGACATCAAAGACCTAAAATAACACTAGTTAGGCTGAAGCTTTAAATGAGGGTGAGGGTGGAGAAGATAAAGTGCTGTGTGAGATGATGAGAGTCTAGGGCTGAGGCATGTAGAACTCAGAAGTGATAGGGGAGGAGTAGATGGAAATCAGGAGAATGAGGCCATAGGAAGAAAATATCTTATTTCAAGGTGACAGAATAAAAATACCTCGGCCTCCCTTTCCGCTTAAAAATATCTCAAAATAAGAGGGAAAACAAGCAAAAACTTTGTCTTTGATTATACTAGGAGATAACCATAATTTCAAACCACAATTTATGAAGACTGAATGTACATAGAAGAGTACATAGTAAATTTCTTAGAGGAAGAGTCATATTCCTTTAAAGTGGACAACTGATGGCCCCAGAAAAGGTTGAAAATTAAGAGGCCTCAAGAATTAAGAAACACCAGGTATTGCAAAAGGGTTAAGTGTTCACCCCTACCTGATGGGAACTAGGTGTTTTTCTTGACAAAAAGGTAAGAAGAGAGGCTTCAGAGTCTAGGACGTAAATATATAGGGGAAAGTTATGGTACTGACAAAGAGGAACCAAACTATGCCTGTTGAATGGTGCTTTTCCTGAGCTCAGAAATCCTTCGGCCAGGAGGACAGTCTCTTCCTAGTTTGCCCTTCCCCTCGCAAAGGGTGGGAGTTTGGAAGTTTTATTTTCTGGAGAATCAGGCATCCCAGAAAAGTATCTATGGATCTTTTACCAATCTCCAACAAAAATAGGCAGCCATTTCCTTATCATATGATGAAGTTCTCTGACACTTCAGCTCACACTTGTACATGAAAGTTCACAATTTTTTAACATCTCATTTTTAAATATAAATGCGTAGCCAAGGACCAGATTATTTGAGGAAAGATTCCAAAAGAAAAGATCAAAGCAATTGAAAAAGAAGTGAGAAGAAAGAGAAACACACCAACAGCATAAGTAATGTTAAGGTGGCTCAGATGGTAAAGAATCTGCCTGCAATGCAGGAGACCTGGGTTGACCCCTGGGTGGTGAAGATCCATGCCTGGAGAATTCCATGGACAGAGGAGCCTGGCGGGCTATAGGCCATGGGTTTGCAAAGAGTCGGACACAACTGAGTGACACACACAAGCAAACTAAAATGTCCTCAGGACAACCTGAAACAAGACCAACAGAGGAGGACAATAATAAATAGAAAAATGCTCTTGGAGATTACACAAGGATAGTGCTCACAAATTCAATGGATGGTTGGAAGACAGGGAAATCCCCTGAAAGAACTGAATAAACCAGACCTTGAATCCCATTTTACAGCTTTTTTATCAGAAGAGACTAAAGCTTTGGAAAGTAAAAAAGCTTTCTAGTTAGTAAGAGTGACATTTCAACAGAAATACAGACTGCTGGTTTTTAAAAATGGCTCCTTTTCGTGACTAAATTTTTCAGGTTTTTCAAAGCTAGGTCACAATTGTAATTAATGTTTTTGATAGCAACAACTTTTTTTAAGACATTAAAATTTCATGTTCACACTGTGATTTTCAAAAGTATAAACTGAATTGTTACGTTATCTAAGTAGTATCACTGCAAAAAATATAATATTAACAATCACATGTCTACTAAAAAGAAAATAGAGCACTTTATAGGATAGGAATTTTGGGTGGAAGAGCAATAGAAAATGTACTTACCAACATATTATACTCATTATCCTGATATCAACAATGTCATAGACTATTTCCAGGACAGAAAACAGACAATAATTAGAATTACTAAGGTTACTAAGGAAATATACACACACACTTCATTTTAACCTACATCAAAGCTATCTGCATACTTATAGTGTGTTCTAGTCAGCAGATACAGCCTAAAGAAATGGGTAATCTATTTAAAATACTTTAAACAGTTGTATATTCCATATGGGAAATTATTTATGTAATATTAAGTAACTACATAATATAACCAAATTGCGATATGACAAATCAATATTCTGCCCTCAAAAATATTACACATTTTTCCCAATAGAGAGCAAAGGTCAAAACCCAACATAAAATTGTTCAGAATAACCAAATCTAGAAAAAGAAAGATTAATGGTTACCCAGGGATGGGGTCCTTTGGGAGATAGAAATGGGTTGAGTGATGTCTCCCTAAAACTCTAAAATGAGACCTTATTTTGGAGACAGTCATTGGTTAAGATAAAACGATGTGTGATTCATGTTGAGGTTTGACAGAAAACAACAAAATTCTGTAAAGCAATTATCCTTCAATTACAAAAAAATAAATTTTAAAAAATATAAAGAGGTGCGTGTGTGCATTCTAAGTGTGTGCAAAGTTGCTTCAGTCATGTCTGACTCTGTGACCCTAGACTGTAGCCCACCAGGCTCCTCTATCCATGGGATTCTCCAGGAGAGAATACTGGAATGGGTTGCCATGCCCTTCACCAATGAGGAGGGTGAGCTAAATCCAGTGACTTCTAACAGTACCAGAAGACAGACACAGGGAACAAGGCCATGTGAAGACAGAGGCAGTGACTGGAGTGATGCAGTTATGAGTCAACAATACCCGGCTTGCCAGCAGCCACCAGGAGCTACAGGAGGGGCAACAGAAGTTCTTCCCTCAGGAACTCCAGAAGGAATCAACCGTTTCAATACCTTGATTTAGGATTTCTGGCCTCCCAAACT